GGACCTGCATATAAGGCCAGTTGTGGCTGCCATTAAAGAGTTTCGTTTTACCCTTCATGAAGTCTAGGCTCATGTTTGGGGGATTGGAAAACTATATTGACTCTGGGGATTGCTATAATCACTAAACTTCCTAGGCTTCTAAGAGCAGCCTGCTTTGCTTTCTGGACTAGGAGAGGTCTACCCACTGGAAGCTGGATACTGGTCTTGGGTCCAGGGTGGGTGGAGGACAGGGAGACCCCAACCAAGCTGCGGTGGTTTGTTGGGTTTACGGTGGTTATGGTGCCTAGTGCGGTGCTTATGGCACTCAAGTATTACTAGGAAGCAGCAATTGACGGAGGTACCCAGTCGGGGTGCCAGGCGTTCCGTCACAGTTACATCTCCACTTATTGGTGATGCTGGTGGTGACGTCCCCTGCTTAAAATCTCTCATATAAGTACTTGCTGCTTCTACCTTTGTTCTGTGAATAACATGTGTAGTACATCTAGTGGTAATAGTGCTACCTTTCACTATAGCTCTACTGTTGGCTTACTGGATCTTCTGGCTACATTGCTCCTTATACATGGTATTGTAAGAGTGCAGATGCTACTTTCACTATCTTCAGTAAATATTTTTCTATAACTAGTTATTGCAGGATCTGACTTTGTCTTTTACTAACAGAATACACGGACCAAGACTTTCCTATCCTACATTTCCCCTACTTTTGAACCTTTGAATATAATACAGATACTGACTTTTTCTTATTATGTGGTGGGTTAGACATTTCTTTCCTAGGTTGGAGGCGTTGCTGCTGTTGGCGCATGCAGCTGCAGAGGTGGATGGCGTTGGTTTATCGTCATCATTTGCCAAACCAGTCTCTCTCATAGCCTTCTTCATGAAAATCATACCTGGCACATTATGTGGATTACTGGTAATCAGTGGCGGACTAAGGGGGGGCGGAGGGGGCGGTCCGCCCCGGGTGCCACCTGGTAGGGGGGTGCCTTGACCCTGGTCTTGGGGATTGGAGGGGGCTGTGTGAGCTGCGCCCCATGGCAGCTGAAGTGTCACACAGCTCACATGGAGAGACCAGCAAGATGAACTGGCCGCACGGGAGGAAGAAGGGGCGGAGCTACGGTCATTTAGGGGTGGAGCCTAACCACAAACGGGGCAGGGCTTAACACAGCCCTTACAAGCTGCTGTAACTGCTGCACATGGAGGTGCAGCAAGCAGAAATCCCTGCACCTCCTCCTCCAGCCACGGAAGGACTTCAGGCCAGGGAATCCACACCTCCAGCCCACACTGTCTGTAAGTATAAGAGTGTGTGCGTGTGTGTAACTGCCTGAAACTGTGTGTGTGTGTGTGTGTGTGTAACTGCCTGAAATTGTGTGTGTGTGTGTGTGTGTGTGTGTAACTGCCTGAAACTGTGTGTGTGTGTGTGTGTGTAAAAACTGTGTGTGCGTGTGTGAAATCGCCTGTGTGTGTGCGTAAAAACTGTGTGTGTGTGTGTGTAACTGCCTGAAACCTGTGTGCGTGTGTGTGTGTGTAACTGCCTGAAACTGTGTGTGTATGTGTGTGTAACCGTCTGCCTGAAACCGTGTGTGTGTGTGTGTAACTGCCTGAAACTGTGTGTGCGTGTGTAACCGTTCGTCTGAATTCGTGTGAACTGCCTGGAAACTGTGTGTGTGTGTAACTGTGTGTCTGTGTGCGTGCCTGAAACTGTGTGTGTGCCGTGTGTGTGTAACTGCCTGGAAACTGTGTGTGTGTGTGTAACTGCCTGAAACTGTGTGTGTGTGTGTGTGTGTGTGTGTGTGTGTGTGTAACTGTCTGCCTGAAACTGTGTGTGTGTAACTGCCTGAAACTGTGTATGTGTGTGTGTAACTGTCTGCCTGAAACTGTGTGTGTGTGTGAGACTGTTTGTCTGTAACTTTGTGTGTGTGTGTGACTGTCTGTAACTGTGTGTGTGTGTGTGTGTGTGTGACTGTCTGCCTTGTGTGTGTGTATAACTGTCTGCCTGTAAATATGTGTGTGTGTAACTGTCTGCATGTAACTGTGTGTGTGTGTGTAACTGCCTACCTGTAACTGTGTGTGTGTAACAGTCTGCCTGTAACTGTGTGTATGTGCATAACTGTCTACCTGTAACTGTGTGTGCGTAACTGTCCACCTTTAACTGTGTGTGTATGTGTGTGTGTGTGACTGCATGCCTGTAACTGTGTGTGTGTGACTGTCTGTGACTGTGTGTGACAGTCTGCCTGTGACTGTGTGATGCTGCCCGTAACTGTGTGTTACTGTCTGCCTGTGACTGTCTGCATGTAACTTTGTGAGTGGCTGCCTGTAACTGACTGTGTGTGTCACTGTCTGTAACTGTGTGTGTAACTGCCTGAAACTGTGTGTGTGTGTGTAACTGTCTGTCTGAAACTGTGTGTGTGTGTGTGTAACTGCCTGAAACTGTGTGTGTGTATGTGTGTGTGTGTAACTGCCTGAAACTGTGTGTGTGTGTAACTGCCTGAAACTGTGTGTGTGTGTGTGTGTAACTGTCTGCCTGAAACTGTGTGTGTGTAACTGCCTGAAACTGTGTATGTGTGTGTAACTGTCTGCCTGAAACTGTGTGTGTGTGTAAGACTGTCTGTAACTGTGTGTGTGTGACTGTCTGTAACTGTGTGTGTGTGTGTGTGTGTGTGACTGTCTGCCTTGTGTGTGTGTATAACTGTCTGCCTGTAAATATGTGTGTGTGTAACTGTCTGCATGTAACTGTGTGTGTGTGCGTAACTGTCTACCTGTAACTGTGTGTGTGTGTAACAGTCTGCCTGTAACTGTGTGTATGTGCATAACTGTCTACCTGTAACTGTGTGTGTATGTGTGTGTGTGTGACTGCATGCCTGTAACTGTGTGTGTGTGACTGTCTGTGACTGTGTGTGACAGTCTGCCTGTGACTGTGTGATGCTGCCCGTAACTGTGTGTTACTGTCTGCCTGTGACTGTCTGCATGTAACTTTGTACGTGGCTGCCTGTAACTGACTGTGTGTGTCACTGTCTGTAACTGTGTGTGTTTGTGGCTGTAACTATGTGTATGACTGTCTGCCTGTGACCGTGTGTGTGACTGTATATGTGACTGTCTGCCTGTAACAGCGTGCGTGACTGTGTGTAACTGCTTGTAACTGACTGTGTTTGTGTGTAACTCTCTACCTGTAACTGTGTGTATGACTGCCTGTGACTGTGTGCGTGTGACTGCTTGTAACTGTGTGTGACTGTCTGCCTGTAACTGTGTGTGAGGGGGTGCAGGGATTTTGTAAAGGGGGGCAGGGGTTTTAAAAAGTTTAAAAATGTGTTCAATAAATCTTTTTTTTTTTAAATTTTTTCAAAAATATCACACATTTTAAAAATGTAGTAGGCTTTTTTTTTTTTGGAGAATTGGGAAGGGGGCAAGGGGGGGGTGCCAAACCCAGGACCCGCCCCGGGTGCCACATGCCCTAGGTACGCCCCTGCTGGTAATTGCTTTATTAAACTTTATTACCGAGATTGGTAGGGGAGTTGGAAATGCTTGACACACAAACACAACACAACTAGCTTAAACTTAAACACAAAGAAAACACATAAACTAGGTGCACTGAATAAAGTTGAGCATATATAATCATTCAACATACAATTTTTTCTTTGAAAAAAAGGTACTTTTTTTTTTTCCCTTCGAAACAGCTAATAAACTGCAGCTTTAACGGGCTAAGCAGGCATCCCTAACTTAAAGGGAAACTATAGTCACCAGAACATATAGTTGTTCTGGTGTCTATAGCTTGTCACTGCAGGATTTTTGCAGTAAAAACTGCTTTTTCAGATAAAAGGCAGTTTTTACATTGCTGCCTAAGGACACCTCCAGTAGTAGTCACATAGTGCAGCACTGACTTTCAGCATATACAAGCTCTGCAAGGAAATTGTGAACATTCCTCATAGAGATGCACTGATTCAATGCATCTCTATGAGGAGATGCTTGTATGTACGTAGTGGGGAATCGCGATGCAGCCTAGAATAAATCTAGCCCCATTAAACCCCCCAATAACGACAAACAACTTAGTATGGATGAACAGGCCACAGCATTTATTATAACATAAATAAATTACTGCATAACACATCCATAACTTTTTATTAAATCTCTTCTTTCTGTAATGAAATAAATAATCATAAATTAACATATAAACATATTACTCAACACAGTGTTATGCAGTGACCCAACCGTCCTTGCCAATAAACATACAGTGGTTCCTAACCACCACTTCCTCTCACCTCCCCCCTCGTCATAAATCATCTCTTTCCAATGCCCGCCATCAGCCGACCTTATCCACGCTCAATGGGCACGACACCTCAGGCAACCTAATGTTAACCGTTTGAAGCAGGGGAGGTTGAGACCTGCAAACATAATGAACTTACTCCATCCTTAAACATAACCCCTCAAACTTAATTGGCAAGGACATACCCCCGCCACCAGACCCCCCTAAATCAGCGGGGAACCCCACCAAAACCCCCCATGGCCTGTTCCACCGCCTCCTGTAGGGCGAGATTAAAAAGGTCGAGCCCGACCTCCATTAGGTGTACACCATCCCTTTGAAAAAATGCGGCCGCCTCACGCTCAAAAACCCTATGGCGGACTGGAATCCCCCGAACCCCCAAAACAAACTGGGAAACCCGCCTTTTAAACTTGCGCCTGCACCACTCCACGGCACTCTGGCTCCTAGCGCCACGCCAATAGTTACGGGCAATGACTTCTGACCAGACCAAGCGCACGTTGAGGAATAGGACTAAAATGCGGGCTAAGTCCCGCTTCACCACCGAAATCAAATCCCAGATGGGCACTGAACCCAAATCATTCCCCCCTAAGTGGATCACTAGGACACTCGGTACCCCTAGTAGGTGAGAAAGCTGCACCAACTCAGGGAGGAGCCGAACCCACCTCATACCCCTCGCACCGAGCCATCGAACCTCTGCTACGGAAGGCGTGAAACCCAACCGCTCGCATCCAGGCCATACCACCGCATGCTGCCCAGCCCAGTAAACATAAGAGTGCCCGATGATCCAAATCCTGGGGGGAACCGAAACTGTGGAAAGAAATTACGACAGTAAACCATCCGGACGAACATAGGAAACATAACGTCTTGATTCCCACCTACCAATCCTCTGAACCACCTGCGCAGGCATGCCAACCCTAGAGGCCTCAGTAGCCGCCCCAATACGGAACGAGTGGCCCCCGAACTCCTTGCTAACCAAACCCATGGCTTCCAGCCCCAAACGAAACACTCTAATAAACTGAAAATGTGACAGGAAATTCCCATCCCCATGTACCAGGAGGGGCAGCGCAGTAGAAGGCCGCAAGGTGCAATATTCCCCAAAGGACCACACAGGACAAATGCCAGAACCAGGCACGGCCCCTAACCGGACCCACTTACCCCTCCCCAAGACATCCGTCTTAGAGCGGCGGATCCTGAACGAGATCCTATCCGCGGTGCACGTAACGTCCCCAAATAGCACGCCGCCCTAGAGCCTGTGAAACCACTAGGCGCAGGTCCAGGACCTTGTCCTGGGGTAACTGACATTCCCCGGCTACTGAATCGATTTCAATGCCCAGGAAACTAAGGCACGTGACCGGACCCACCGTCTTGTCATGAGCCAACGGAACATCAAAACGCTGAAACACCTCCCCGAGAACCCGCAACAGACGTGCGACTCTGCCGGCCCTACGCACAAGAAGTCATCTAGGTAATGCAGAAGGGAAGCGACACCCGCTTCCCTCCGCACCACCCATTCTAGAAAAGTGCTAAAGCACTCAAAATAGAAACATGACAGAGAGCAACCCATAGGTAGGCACATATCCACAAAGAGCTGGCCCTCAAAAGCACAGCCCAGTAAATGATGGCACTCCGGGTGCACTGGAAGCAATCGAAAAGCAGATTCCACGTCCGCCTTTGCTAGCAGCGCCCCGGGGCCAGCAGCCCTCACCATGCGAACTGCAGCATCGAAGGAGGCATAGGAAACCCTGCAAAGCTCCGCCGAGATGTCATCATTCACCGAACCCCCCCGGGGGTAAGACAAATGGTGAATTAGTCAAAACTTACCGGGTTCCTTCTTAGGCACCACGCCCAAAGGAGAAACCCGCAAGTTAGGCATGGGTAGGAAGGAAAACGGGCCGGCCATCCGGCCCAAGGAGACCTCCTTCCCCAGTTTTTCCCGAACCACATGAGGAAATTCCCACACGGACCTGAGGTTCCGAACAGAGTGCTGTGGAGGGCGCTCCGAAAAGGGGATCCAAAAACCCTGCTCAAACCCTTCCACTAGGATCTGTGCTGCCGCCCGGTTCCTATAAAGGTCGAGCCACGGGCGCATCGCGTTTACGAGCACCGGTGTTGTCGCCCTTAACACCCATGTCCCCTTTTTCGCCCGTTTTCCCACGCTTGAAACAGCGAGAGGCGGGATGAGCCCCACTGCAGCTGGAGCACTCATGCTTAAACCGGCACGAGGACCCCCACTTGCAGTGACTGTCGTTGAACTTCCAACAACAGCCCGTCCTCTGATTGGGGGCCGATAGGGCAAAGGAGCCCCCCCAAGAAAGGACGAAACCGCGCCCTGCTGAGGGGCTGGACGGGTCATAATTGCAAGCCAGAGACCAATGTCCATCTGGTCCCAAGACAACAATGGACGCACTGCCAGCCGCTGCCGGAACTGCTTGTCGTACCTCCACCACCCCAGCCCCCCATAGGTTCGACAGGCGTTCCAAATCGTGTCCTGATAACAGAACAATGCGGAACACTTTTGGGGAGCTTTCTCCCCGACCACGCTGGCCAGGATGGAGAACGCCCGAATCCAATTCCCAAACGTTTTGGGAATTTTCCGATAGCGGTATTTCTCCTTGTCTTTTTCAGACTCCTTACTGTCTTTTTCTGCCGCGGGAGGAGCTTCCTCCAGCGGCAGGAGAGAAAATATTTCGACGAACTCACCCTTCCAAATTTTTTCCCTCGTTTCCTGCTTTAAGTGCAGACCCAGAGGGCCAGACCAGCACATATAGGCTGCGCCACGCGCCACGCACCACTCGCCACGTCTGCCATGCCCGTCTCAGGGGGAGCGTCACCCACGGGCGCACAAACACCGTCCCCCGTGGGTCCCAGGGGCAACGAACCACTACCCACTACTGAAAGGGGCCTGGGAGGAGGGGGAATCTGAACCGCGGGGGGGGACTGCGCGGGGGACCAAACAGATCGCAGCTGACTATCTACAGAGGTGTCCCCTTTTCCCGCCGCCCCTTGTTCCCATTGATCTAACAAACCTCGAAGACCCGAAAGAAACCCCCCCAGCCCGAGACCCGAAGCGGCAATAGAGGAGGGAACATTGTACTCACCGGCGGCAGCTTGGCGATCCAAACCCTGCCCTGCATTCACGGAAGACTGAGGCACTGAAAATTGGGTTCCAGCATCCAGAGAAGAGATTAGCTGTGTTCCAGGCGCCACCTGCTGGCTGGATCTACGAACTGCAGCAGTATCCTGAGGAGAGAGCAGCGAAGAAGACGTGAGCCCATGCCCCAGAGGAGATGGCCGAGGTAAGTGACCTGAAGGGGGGGGAGGGGACCCAGGCAAGGTAAGAGGGGGGGTGGAGAACAGAGGGGGCCCAGATAGAGTAGGTTAGCCCCCAGGGGAGGTAGAGGCAGACATGGGGGGGGGCAGGGAAGGAGGAAGAAAGGGGGGAGGACCCACAGAATAGAGGGGGGGAGGGGAGAAGAGGAGGCCAGAGAAGAAGAGGAGGCCAGAGAAACATGAGGGGGACCCGGGGGGACCCCCTCGTGGAACTTACATGGGAGGGGGAGGGGACAGGAGAGGGAGAATATCGTGAGCCTTCCTCACTGGCAGAGGAGGCTTCCGACATACAAGGGGACCCCCCCCGCACCCCCAGCGGCAGTACTGCGGTACCCCGCGGCACCACTCACCACCGGGGCCCCAGCGGCATCCCCACTCCCCCGCCGGCCGTGGGGGGATCTGGAATGTTGCCGGGCGGCCACCCGCCACCCAGATGTAGCTGCAGGCCTCCCGCCGCCCACCGCGTTCCAAAGCTGGCGGCCAGGGCGGGAGGCAGGGGAACCGGCCGGGCACGTGGAGCCCGCCGGGTAGGCCGCGCACCAGGCCTCCGGGCCGCAGGGCGCACGGCAGAACAAGGCTTCACCTCAGGCCTTGAGGGGGCAGGCTGCACCGCATGTGCAGCCGCAGAAGGCCGCAAATCCCGGCCACTGGACCCAGGCCGTGTGTCTGGAGCCCCAGACACGCGGTTCTGGCAATGCCTCAGGCCCGGGCTCCTGCTCCTCAACCGGGCCCGAGGGGTATTATCAGGAGACAGCCTGGCAGGCGGACGGGAACGCCTGCCAGCGCTGGTGCGGCCCCCAGGGGCAGGGACCACATGGGAAGCAGCAGGGGAGACCGCAGGGGGTGCTCCAGGGGAGGGTAAGCCACGGGGGGTGCCCACACCGACAGTCATACCTCCACTAATGCCCTGAAATTGCTCCCTCAGTTGCCGGACACCATCCAGCGCAGCAGCAGCCCTGAGGGACGACAGGATCGCCTCAATATCCATCACCTCAAGCTGTGAAAACTAAAGCCCACGCTAACTTATATTGAACCTAACCCCTCCCACACACATTACCCAAGTCACTCCCCTGCATCTATCCTTACACTCCTACATGTGCCCTTGTCCGCTTAGCTGCGCTATCTCCCCAGGGTCTAAATGGCCAGCACGGTGTTTGATCCGCCCCCACAAAATTAATTATCTCAGACAATCTTCAGTTTTTATGATCTCAGCCAAGAGGGCGGATCGGGGTGGAGTCAGCGCCTGCAGACCAACACGGCACTGGAATCAAGTTGTTTTAACACTATAGGGTCAGAAATACATGTTTGTGTTCCTGACCTATAGTGTTCCTTTAAACTGATATCATGATACTTGTCACAATTCGATTTATTCTCAGTCTGGTGCAGTACCTCACAATGTTACTACCTGTCTGTGGTGCCATTGCAGGTGGCTGCACCCTCTATATCTCTATGTACCCAGCTGACCTTACTTTACAATTATCTTCTCCCTATCTAGTTGAGCCTCACCCATTCTTGTTTGCCATGTCATTAATGTTTATGTTGTTGGTCTGTTTCTTTTGTTCCTAACTGCCCTGTATCCAGAGGCCTTTCCTGCATTCTCTGTATCCAGATGCCTTACCTGTGTTCCCTGTATCCAGAGGCCCTTCTCCTTCATTCAATTATCTGTGTTTGTATTTTATTTAACTGTCTTTCTTGTAAATATCAATATACTTGTTTACTATATACTTTTTTTTTTGCCTTGATTTGTGTGTGTAGTGGCTTCTTTGCATTCCGGGTTTCACCCTATAGAGGTTGCTGAACTGGGCAGCACCCTTTCCGACCAGACACCTGACAAAATGAACTGGCCATTAAATATGGACCACATATTTTCTTAATATGTATCAAACCCTGTCCTGGCCAATCAGCATCTCCTTATAGAGATGCATTGAATTAATGTATATCTATAAGGAATGTTCAGAGTTTCCTTGCAGAGCTTGGATATGCTGAATGTCAAAGCCGCATAGCATTGTGCAGCACTGACCCAGGAAGCACCTCTAGTGGCCGTCTGAGTGACTACTACTGGAGGTGTCTCTGAAAACGCAGTTTTACAGCAAAAAGCCTGCAGGGAAAAGCTATAGACACCAAAACAATTAAAACATTAAGCTGTAGTTGTTCTGGTGACTATAGTGTCCCTTTAATTCTATTTTATGTGAAATGTGTTCTTGTTATGAACAGGTTTTATTTGGGGGAAATTTGTTGGTAAATAAGGTTGGTCTCATTACACAGTAACCACTACCTGCACACATGACAATTTCATGTTCATTTGTCTAGATATCCATAATGATGGATTATTACTGCCACAATATCAAATTTCTGTACACAACTTGAGCTGATGATACAACATTTGCTCTGTCGTAGTCAAGATATTCAAAAGACTCCTATACAGCACCTTAACATGACAGATGCCATAACTGAGAGCTCCATGTAGGCTGTCTACAAATCTTTATTGCTCTTCGATTGCAGATCAGCATAGGACAAAGCTCTAAGTCGCCAGAGCAGATTCCACTATCAGTTTACAAGATATCGGTGGCTGGATGCTCTCACCAGGGAACCATCAATGAGAGATAAGGAGGATTGCCACTTTTGTTACTTTCTCAGATCTCCAAACTTGAAACTGTGACTCTGTGACTACATTTAACAATGTTTAATGTTAACTTTGATTAAAATGTGACTCCAAAAGTTAAATATGGTTGTATAGGTCTGTCTTTTATTTATTTCAAGTTACGCGTCTTAGGCGGACCATTGCTACAGATTATGACAATATATCTGGCCAATAACAGATTTTGTTAAGAAAATGCACTTTTAAACTATTCCATGCACCATCACTGCATTATTGTCATGAATATGTTTTAAAACATGTATATCTCCAACACCCTTACAACACCAGTGGAGGCCAATAACAGAAGAACAATTACCCTCCTATATTTAGAAAACTGCAAATCCCCCAAAATTCTACTATATCCAATAGAAAAAAAACATTAGATTTTACAGATAGAAATAATAAACATACATATGTCAACACCGTATAAATCACCAGGAGAGCATAAGTTGCACTCACAAGATACCTGATACAGAAGACGTGTCTCCCAATAATGGATAATGTACCAATAGTCACTGTATCTTTTTGTTAGACTGGTCACTTAAAAGTAAGTGTAAAGAGAAAAAAAACACAACATACTGTGCACTTATAAAACCAGAAGTATTTAAAAATTGCCCTTAAGGTAAAAAAAATAAAAAATCACAAAAAGCATATCACCAAATGCTGCACACAGTCTGCTACTTAAGGCTCCTTTGCTTTTAGTCTCAAAAGTCTGAATATGTGAAAAGCAGAAATTCCCATGCATAGCTTTCTTTAGGGAAAACTAAATATATATTGACAAGAAAGGAGGGTAGATACAACAGAGCAGGGAAGGGAGTCCAGGGAGGGTTGTGGGAGTTGGGTCAGATTTCCCAATTGAGGAAGGGAGGGAAAGAGAATGGCATTCCAGGGGCAGGGAAGAGTCTTCCAGGTAGTGTGGTGGGAGGGAGCACGGGAGGTAGTGAGCTGGGGAACATTTGCCCAGGGATATAGGTGGGTAGATTAGGCATTCCAAGGGCTTCTAGGGATGGCGGAGGGAGGGGTCAGTTGGGGGAGATTTGCCTAGGAAGGCAGGGCGAGGGAAAGCATTCCAGAGGCATTCGGGGAACAAAGGCAAGGACACATGGAAACAAAGGGACTTCATGAGATGGCAGGAACCAAAGAGGAAGAACAAGAAACAGAGAAAAAGGTAGACGGAGACTCTATACTACAAAAACTACACTACTCGCCTACTGGATGCATTTATTGAGATATCATCACAGGCGTCAGGCAACACAATTTTTCAACCAAGAGGGCCATAAAATAAAAACAATAATCAAAATTAATGAGGGTGGTAGTGCTAAGAGACTAGCTAAAACTTCTCAGTCCACGAAAGCATACTGCTCAACCTGATCCTGTAGCAAAGCACCCAATACTTCTGCTCAAATCAGAGGCGCAAGGAAAGCAAAGGAGATCTTGGCACTGCCACACTGAACATAAAATACAGGTGGGCTTCCCAGTCAGGTCACTGAGCAAGAAGGGGAAAAAGTCCAGCCTCCTTGACGCCATCACTCCCACTCTCTCTCTCTCTCTGCACCTCACCATAAGTCACTCGCCACAAGAGAGCAACTGTCTTGCCGACAACCCAAAACAAAGTTATTCATAGCTCAGGTTAGATACAAATCAAATAAAAAAATGTCGAGACCAGCAATGCTGAGGTGGATCCTGGTCGGCTGAAATGCCCATATACTGTATAACAAACCTATTTAGCTCAGCAACCACCTGACCTACCAGCCTTTCAATCTTCTTACGGGCCCTGTAAACAACAGATCCAGAACAGGAATAGCCTCCAATATGGATCTTGATGCAGACTACCCCGACGAGCCCCTGAATCCTGCAGCATGGCACACCAGCTCAGCCAAAGGACAGAGATCTGAGAGGCTGGAAAGGCCAGGTTCTAGCTCAGCACTGAGAAGAGTATGTGTAATGTGATGGAATGGTTAAACGAGTGGATAAACGAGTCCCCCACCAACCAAACTCGAGTAAGGGTGGGACTGGTTATAAAGCAAAGCAATAGTTAACAAATGAGAAAACAAGAACTTAACACATGTACTTATGCAGTGGAAAGGAGGCAAACCTATAACTTATACCTCTGTACCTGACTTAAAAAGCCGCAAGTGACACAGTTCATGGGGGGGTACGGGGGAGGGGAGAGGTGCCTCAGTGGAGCTGCAGAAGTCACTGTACCAATCCTAAAAGAACAGGATGTAATATGACAGGAAGACAGTCCGGCTCATTGAACAACAAAACGTTTGGTCAGACTTTGAATAGGGTATAAAGCACAAAATCACTTAGGGAGATATTGAGACCTAAGAATCCTGTATCCCATTTCTGGCTGTCTTGGCTGACTGTGCTACAAGATGACCCTTCAGGTTAGGGCAAAACTTCCATATGCTTTTTTTGGGCACAAAACCCAGTAGGGTCTGCTATAGGCAGATAGTGAAGGTGACAGCTATCCTACAAAAAGAGACCACTTGCGGGAAAGAATAGGCAGACTACATATTACTAGGAGAGGAACTACCAGGAAAAAAACCTGAAACTGGTATCACAAGGCCCTCCCAAAGATCTGAGCGAAGTCAGTCAGCTTGCTGCCAAGGAAGATAAAAGAACAACCATCTTTTAGTTGCGTCTACTTTCAGTGGAATTGGCACCATTGAGAAAGGAGGATAAATGTCCAGAGGAGCCCTGTGACTGGGAAGGTTGCATGCACCCTACCCCGAGTTTGCAAGTAACCACCTCTGCTTGCCTCAGCTGAAAGAGTGGGAATACTGAGGGATGCACCCTTGGCTCTCTTTACCACTTAAGTGTAAATAATAATTTGTTACATGTAATAACAGAGATCCAATCAGCACTTACACTAAGTGCCAATCAGTTCACTCCATTCATTCAATAATATAAATGTCAATTTTTTAAAACATTAAGTTCCCAATTAATACCAAAATAGGCCAGGTGCAGGGGCTGTGTGATGGGAACAGCAATGCTTTCATTGCAGGGTAAAATACCCCTCTAGTGGCTATGTTCCAGATAGTCATTAGAGGCATTTCCCCTGTGAGAACAAAGTTAGCATTGGATTGGCTGAGATTAATCAATCTACATGATCTCAGCCAGGGAGTCAGATCATGTAGCATGGCGGAATGTTATGAGCTGAAAGGTATGTAAAAATGCTTTGTTTTTTTATTACCAAATGTGTGCGGGACACCTAAATAGTTAGTAGGAAACACTATAGTGTTAAAAATGCATGATTACTGTGAGAACCTGGGGACAGGTCCTTTTAGAAGCCCCAAGGTGAGATTTTCCTAGCAAATCAAGGATTCTTGGGAGGGTATGTATTTATCTACAATTACTTAATAACACGTGATGTACATGTGATATCATGTGGTTTAGTTTTGCAGCAAATATATTTTCAATGTTATTTACCAAAGTAAGAATTCAAAGTGAAATTCAAATTTAAGTCCAAAGAAGCCAAGCTGATAGCAAGCTGACTTGAACATTGTTTCCACTTTGGCTGTTTGTTTATTAAATTTTTAGGTATTAAATGAATTAACATTTTCACAAGACTAATTTTGTCTCTTGAAATTAACACACTATGAGACTATCTTATCTTCCAGTTTGAATTCTTAAATATAATGGTTATCCTTATGAGATGTGATAAGGATCTGCTAATCACTTATTAATCAGAAATTATTGTTAATAATTGTGTAACACATTTACGTAAGACTTAACGCACCTTGAAAAAATAACTAGAAAGTCAGATAGAGAGGATCTTTATGCAAACGGTGACTTTAAAAATATCTTATACTGCAGCAATTAAAGCTTTGCTTAAACTGGTTTATGATTGAACATATTTCTGGTGATAGAGATCCTTAAGCTGAAACCCAGCAAGAGTCTGCGCATTTGCTTGTCATAAAAAGTAAATTAGCCATTGCCGTTAGATATTATGCCTTTGTTTCAATGCGTCACGGTCAAAGTCTGGTTTTTTTTCCAGCTGAGTTTTCAGCACTGACTAATATGCAGATACATAACAGATGGGTCGTCATTTGTTGTCACAATAATCAAAAATAAGTGTAGCACACTTCTTCACCATCCACCTGTTGCCACACAGTCAACAGCACCACCTCCAATACACTGCTTAAATAGATCGGGCACTCAAAGTGTATGTAAGAGTACCTTTATACTACCCTACCCACTCTGGGTAATTTCTGTAGACAGTGGTGTATCCTGGTTTTGTGCTGCCCTAGGTATGACAAAACTCATGTGTATATGTGTATTTTAGTGCAGTAAAAGCTAACAGTATTATGTCATTCACAATTACATTTACATGCAGAACTTGAAAAATATGAAAACGTCTTTATTTTTCACACTTTTTTAGATTCTATTCACATGAAACTTTCATATATAAATATTTGATGTGAAATGAAGGCCCTGTTTCTCCTGAACATAATTATATATTATAAGTGCAGGTGCCCTTCATATGAAAGAGATAAATTATGGTCGAACAGATATATAGTCAAATTCTAGGTCTTATTTTGATTCAGAATTTTGACAATTGCCTCCGTCCTTAAAGGATTAAGGCCAGAGAAGCTGAACTGAAAGTATAGCTGAGATTTTTTCCAGTTCGCTATTTTGACCTTAAATTTGAAATTAGCTTCGAATTTACTTTGAATTCTCACTTTATTGAATAACCTTGTTAATTTTTGGCAAATACACAAGGAAAAAAAATATATTTTTTTTTTCTTCTAGTGTTGTCATAAATAGCAAATGAGTAGAACCCTGAAACAGTATGCAGTTTATATGGTAAACAGTCAAATAAAACCAATATGTAAAATCCAGCTTAAAAATTACCAAGCTGTAACTATAGCTTAGCTGAAGAATTATTCTAAATCAGATATTGTAGACTAAATCATAGGCGTGCGCACATAGGTGCCTCCCTCCGTGGGCAGGTGAGGGAGATCAAAGATCTCCCTCACCTAACCACAGGCAGGGAGGGAGGCAGGAGAGGACCCGAGGAGCTCTTGCCAGCAGCTTCGCCGGGTTCCTCTCGCGCGGTCGGAGCTCAGATCTCGCGAGAGTGAACTCTAGCCCCACAGGGGGCTAGAGTTCACTTTCCACTGGACCACCAGGGAAGGCAGGAGCACGGTCCCCCCTCCCTACATAAGGTAAGAAGGGAGGGGGGATATTAACTAAACGGCCCCCACACATTACACACAAACATACAGCACATACACATACATCACTCTTACACACACAGCACACACACTAACAGCACCCTCACACTAACAACACCCTTACACACACAGCACCCTCACACATACACACACAGCACACACTAACAGCACCCTTACACACACAGCACCCTTACACATACACACACTAACAGCACCCTTACACACAGCACCCTCACACAAGCACAGCACCCTTACACACACACAGCACACACTAACAACACCCTTACACACACACACTAACAGCACCTTCACACACACACACACACACACACTAACACACTAACAGCACCCTCACAATAACAACACCCTTACACACACAGCACCCTCACACATACATACACACACTAACAACACCCTTACACACACACACTAACAGCACCTTCACACACACACACACACACTAACACACTAACAGCACCCTCACAATAACAACACCCATACACACACAGCACACACTAACAGCACCCTTACACACAGAACCCTCACACACACAGCACCCTTACACACACACAGCACACACAAACAGCACCCTTACACACACAGCACCCTTACACATACACACACTAACATCACCCTCACACACACAGCACCCTTACACACACACAGCACCCTTACTCACACAGCACCCTCACCCACACACACAAAGCACACACTAACAGCACCCTTACACACACAGCACCCTCACACACACACACACTAACAACACCCTTTAACATACACACACACAGCACACACTAACAGCACCCTTATACACACAGCACCTTCACACACACAGCGCCTCCACACACACAGCGCCCACACACACACACAGCGCCTTCACGCACAGCACCTGCACACACACAGCGCCTTCACACACAGCACCTACACACACACAGCACCCTCACACACACAGAAGTGTGTGTGTGTATGTATGTGTATATATGTATATATATATATATATATATATATATATATATATACATATATATATATATATAAATATATATATACGCGGCGTGTGTGTTTCTGCTTTAGGGTGCACACCCTTATACAATAGGCTGCGCACGCCTATGGACTAAATATTGAAATTTGTTTTTTAATTCACTACAATTCTTTAGTGTATAAACCCCTGTGTTTTCATGTGTTAATTCATTATGTGACTTTTTAATAACCAGTAACAGAGACTGTCTCAGGTCAAAGGATAACAGGAATCCATAGGTAAGGGGAGGAGCTGAATTAACAATGCGATTGCACGTATTACTAAGTTGCATAAACACATATGAAGAGGAGAGGAGGAGGGGGGTGTCATTTTTTCCTGGGCAAAGAGCAAAGGGTGTGTAGTCTAGAAGACATTCATCGCAGTGAGTGATTACTAACAAGACAGTGGTGGCTTTGAGAAAGGGATTAATTGCAGAGACCTTCTTTCACCTGATCTTTTACATTCTTGTTTTCTTGCCTCTCCAACAACTTCAGGACATAAGTGGATGGATGTGTGGTTAATGAGAATACACTGACAGGATCAAGTCGCCTGGTGAGCAAATTATGTTCAGGGAATTGTGAACGAACACACTTATAGGCAAAGCTGGAAAAATATGTATATAGTCAATAGTAATATGTAATATGTATAATGTATATAGTAAAAAAGTAAATAGATTTAGAACACATTATTTTTTTTCTAACAGTCAGAGTGTTACTGTAAAGACCAAACGGGTTTTCCACCTGTGTTAGCATCTCAGGATATTGGTAAATTTTACATATATGTTCACTCTCATTACCTTGTGCTCATGCCTAAGAAAATAATTCACAAAATGTACAAAAAAAATCCAAATCCATAGTCACAGCTAACAATTTTAAATAACAGAGATTTTAATACCACTATAACGGTCATCGAAATGTAAGCTCACTGCCAACAAGGCAAACCTCGTAATAAGTCCTAAGTTCAGTTTTTGTGTCTGCTTGTAGCTCAAAGTCATAAAGTTAAAATAGATGGACCTGTTTTTTACATAAAACCCTTGACATGCTTAGTCGCCTTTCCGGCATATGTGGTATAAAACACCTCCGAAAACCCAATGATACTCGGACACCTTATGTTTGGGAACATTATCACAGCTTTATTAATAAATAAAATATATATAAATTATTAAAGGTCATTGTCAACCTATTTTACATAACATCTCAGCCCTGACTCTTTTAACAATTCAACCCTGACAATGACCCACATAAACAAACAATATTAGCATAAATAACATCTAACCACTTAAACCATTGCCACTGAGGGCATGATTTACCATGTTCCACCATGTAGGGGTATACCCTACACACACCAGGTTCGGAGCTACCGACGAGCTCGAACCAACCGAAATCTAACCAAACCTAACCGTTCTTAGTGAACTAAACTTATGTTACATCTGTACTAACAATCTACACCCCAACTTGTTTATCCATCCCCCACTGCCGTGACCAAACCGGATCCAGAACTTGCTTAAAGGGAGAGAGGGTGGGACAAAAGAGGTAAGTGAGGATTAATTAAGATGGCCCTTGATCTAAAATGGCCGTTATATATACTCCCATAATCTAAAAACCCCACCCTCACTTTCTATTGACAAAACCCCCACATTATCACTTCCTATGCCTGTCTCTTAGACATGTCAAGGCCCATTCCACTTAGGATGCGCTGCTCCATGGACTACAACACACTAATAATTCATCCTAAATAGGCACTTATGGAGGTAGGTGAAAGCACCATGTAATGCAAATGTTTGTGAGATACAAATACAGTTAAAGGAAAATTACAGACTCCATATCCACAACAGCGAGTGTCCTAGTGCCCCCCGATGTAAGTAGTCAAACCGTTTTAGAACGATTTGATGTCTTACCTGGGTTCCGCAGCTGTCACACAGTCTTGCTAGATTATTTGGGTTGACACCAGGACTCTTTTTCCTATATATCATGTTCTAAGGGAGGGAAGTTCATACTGCCATGTGGCCATTTACTGGTCCTCTACCCCTGTCATTCGGGTGAAAAAAATTATCATAGCTGCCACATGACTGTTTAAAACATATTATGGATGTAAGCACATTTTTCAATGGTAGTTTTAAATGGTTTATCTTTTTTTTAGTACACCTATTTCATTAAGCAAAAGTTGACTAGCAGGGGCAATAGGTAAGCTGGGCACCCATGCCCGAGGTACTGCTTATTCACCAGCAGGCAATAGTGCCCTGGAGACTCTCTCTGATATATATGGAGGGGAGCTCTAACAGTATCTGAGGAGTGATCAAATCTTATATACTCTATTTACCAAGGTGCACTAATGTAGGGGGAAATTAAATAGATATAAAAACTCACACACTCCCTTTCTATGCCCCTTCCCTTGCCACATGTGATTTTTGGTTATCATGCCCAGACTGGCCATCGGGCAAAACAGGCAAATGTCCGGTGGACCAAGGTATCAGGTTCACAGAAGCTTCACGATCAGCCCCTTCAGTGCTAAGCTCAAACAGAGGGTTCCATGGCTGGCAGGGAGATGAAGGACCTCCCTCAATGGCCAGCCCTCGGTACTACCAGAGTCTCTCCCACACAAACACACACTCTATCCTCTTTTTACCTCTCTGGCTTGTGTCTCACTTATGGGAAAATAAGGGGGACAAGTGACCAGCAAACACATTAGAATGTCTTGCACTGTGTTAAACAGTCCTGGAGGGACATCAACCTGATACGCCCACTATGGAGTGAGTGCATTCCAATGTTGATACAATGTGCCCCTTCCTATTTGGCTGCTCTGCCTTAAAATGCATAGTCCAAATTTTTGTCTCAGTCCAACCCTGGTGGTTATAAGGGTAGTCCATGGGAATGCCGCACTATTCAACAACCTCAAGAGTGAGATGGAGCAGAAAAAAAGGGGTACCTTGTTTTATGCTGTGCTAATATTACAGAGGACTGGGCATGATTCTGCATAGCCCCCTTGCTTGCTTAAGATGAGGTCTGAACCCCCTCATATTTCTGTTATACCCTCACCTATGAAGTCATAGATCTTTTACTTTTATCTCCCACAGCCCCAGAGGTTTTTTTTTTTTAAAGTTTTTATCTCTTGTGTATAACATGAGGCAAGAGGAGGGAGCTGGTTTGGACACGCGCTTGGTTATTAGGGGCTACTGAGATTCCTTATTCAGTGTTTCAGTTTAATTATTTTAAGGTAAGTTCTAGTCAGCTTCTTTCCAGTGGTCCAAATTCCACATTTCTCCTGCATGTTTCATGAAAAAAGTGCTGTAAGCAAAAATCAATTAATATGTTTCCATAGTGAAAAGTCTAAAGTACTGTACTTTATGAGGAGGTGATACATTTGACAAATGTATTGCCAGACATCAAATTGCTCAAGACTGTATCTGCATATTTAGGCTTAATCTTCTATTTTTTCTCAAATTGCCATCAGTGTCACTGTATACTGGTACCTCCTTTATAGACACCAGGCTGAATATGGCTCCCTGACATCACCTCCCTAAATTCAGCAAAATGTTGCTTCCACTGTTTTCTACTATACGTTTGCATTTCTATGTAGTCTGTAGCATCTCTTGTGACCTCACTCACTTCTGGTAGCCTGGTATTTAGTGTATTTGCCTCTGAATTACTCTCCCCACGTTGACACAACTTTCAGGAAGAGGATAAATCACAAAAGATATATGATTTGCAGAACAATTGTCAATTTTTCTCTACAATATGCTATTGTAGAATTAAGCTTACATACAGTTGAAATCATAATTATTTGTTTCTTGTTGAAAGTTACACACTGCCCATTACATTGTTGATGCTAACAGACAGATAATTCACATATTATGTTCCTGTCATGGTACCTGTTCAATCCTTGTGTCAATCTTGTACACATTGCAAAATTCTACTTCATTCCAGTGTCCATTCTAGGGATTCTTCTCAGGCCAACATGACATTGTGCATCATTCCAGTGTCAAAATTGATGCAAGGCAATCCTTTTCAAGCCGTGTTGCAACTCATTATTTCTGCATTAACATTGGCAGAAATCAATCTTTTTCAGACAAAAGTGATGTGATGCATCATTCCAGCATCAAGAGTGATGTGGACCATTGTGTCCATGCTCAATTTATACCCAATAAAGCATAGCATCCGGCATCACAATTTAATTACATTTTGGCGCCTTATTCCCAATAAAGCATGGCATCCGGCATTACAGTTTAATTACTTTTTGGCGCCACTCTGATGACGCTAATGATATTTAATCCTAGTCCACAATGAGGCATGTAACCTGCTGAAGTCTCTAGTACCCAAGAGTGCGCTTTTACTGTGTTTGTTTTTTCTGGAATTTTGATCTTGGTTTGTTATCTCTCCAATCCTGTATGTGGCTCGTCTCACAGTTTTGTTGTCTTTCTGTATCATTTGAACTCATCCTATTCTTTGACCATTCTCGTACTTGTCTATCAACTTAATCCCGGTCACCTCTAAGGTCCAGTAACACATTCTATTTACTTAGCTTTCCTATATTTACATATTGGGACTCCCTACCAATCCTGACAGTTTCATATGGAAATTGTACTTCATGTGCACATGTGTATTTGTGGTGTTATCAAAGTTGCTATATTATATTGTAGTTAATTGTCTTTGCTTTGTAGAATTGATAAGCAAGGAATCAATGTTGCTTGTACACATCATGAAGCAAGGGGAGTTGTTTGTGGTGTTTTCTGATTATGCTCAAACACTTTTTGGTGTTTCATTTACTAAGTCATAGATAGCTCTGTTCAAGTGTAGATAACTTTTTTATTATTGCTTAAACTTGAGTGTTTAATGTAAAGTATAGGGCCCTTTTTCATTGAATGGATAATAGAAAAGGCAATAAACAAAACTTGTGCTCAGTGTTTAGATGATAGCAGTGAAGCACTTGGTCCTACAAGGACAACGTACCCCTTTAAGCAGCATGTAAATATATAAAACCAAAAAGAAAAAAAATAGTGCGATACTATATATATATATATATGTATATATATATATATATATATTGCATGTGGATATAAGAAAGGTGAGTAGTAGACACCCATATTTGCAAGAGCCTTTTCTATGAATAAGCTCTAAGCGTGTAAGCTTCTGTGCCTTTAAGGCAGCAACACTACCTTCATTTGCAGAGATGTGGTGAATAACTTCCAGTGGTGGATACAGGAAAAAATAATAAAGAGAAAGCAAATTTGGTGCAGGATATTTGGTAAAATATAATACTAAACAGAAAACCAAGTGGTTATGTGCTCACCTTGATTTGGGGCCCATGAATGACTGGCTCTGACTTTGTGGACACATTGTAAAATATAGGGCAACAATGCCCTCTTTTTATTTTATTAATTCTTTATTTTTGTTGTGCATTTAGTGACAAACTTACTTACTTGCAGAGCCACAACAGCTATAGCAAGCGATTTGAAAGGCATAGTAGTTCAATTGTGTGGCATAGCGTTAATAATGTGCATTTTCAACAATTATAGCAAGAAAAGAGACACAGTTTGTGGCGTTACATACAAGAATAACAAAGCCAAGGTAAGCATATGCACTGAGTAGCTTATGAACAACAGAATGCAGCTCCACCGAACAGGGTGGTTGTTAAATGCAAAAGTAGAACTGGGCTAGTGCACAGAGAGAGGAGTAGATATAAAGATTAAAATAATACGTAGTAATAGACCTTCTCACTGACTGCTGATTAGTAGGCAAGTATATAACAACATAAAAAAGCTCAAATACTTGTAACCAACGGAGGTCAGTCTGCAATTAACTCCTCTAAGAGGTCACTCCCAGAGTAAGCAAGGATGGTGTGGCGGCTTGGAATTAATATTGACACCAAACCATATGGTGGTCTTACTACGAGTTGTTATCATGTTGAGGACATTAATGACTGGCTGCCATGTTATGATACTCCATGCTCGTGCAACAACACGCCATCCTATCACACAGGCTGCCGTCAAATCAGTGTTGAGAATTTAGCATACTAGGTAGATATATCTAGTGCCAGGTATGTAGGCTTGTCGTACTGCTAAACAAAACTTAAACAAGGAGCATGGCTGACTGACAATAAATAAAATAAATAAACTAAAGCGGTTAGGCAGTGCTTATAACTTTGGCAAGTTGGGTTAGCAGTATATATGTGTACAATGCGTTAGTTCTGGCCTGTTCGGTGAACTAGTGTGGTATCCCCGTTTCTGGGTCTGCAGGGTTTCTAGTCCATCTCCGGTGCAGTCTGTTCTCAATTAGCCAGTGTCGGCTCTGGGGGCTAGGTTGGTGAGCCAAGTTCAATGACAGGGTTCGTGCCGTGGTGAGGTTCCTTCACCTATAAGACCCGAAGGGGCTCTCTGCCGGGTTTAGGTTCATGCGATGGCCTTAGCATATGAGTCTGTGGGTGGTCTCCTTGGCACGAACTCTGGGGCATCCACGGTGTGTCTTCCGATTGGGCATATGTGGCCTGCAGGTTGTGTCACTTGAGCCAGTGGTTCTATGGGGAGGTTCAGTAGCCCCAGTATCTCAGTGGCCTCTTGGGGATTGTGGACAGCGTGCTTGGTGTCTCCTTTTTCGATGGTGAGAGTGCGGCTTGGGCCCCAGCGGTAGCGTATTTGGTGGAGGCGCAGGAGGGCCGTAAATGAGCTCAGGGATCTCCTCCACGCCAATGTCCCGGCCGACAGGTCCGCGTAAAAGGAGAGGATCATCCCTTCAAAGGGGTAAGATGACTGACCATTTGTGGCCTCCACGACCGTCTTCTTGTCCCTGGCTGTTTGAAACTGTAGTATTAGGTCCCCTGTGGCGTCAGGTGGGGCCTTTGCTGGTCGCAGTATGCGAAATAGACCCTCCAGGGTGATCGCTTTCGCCGCCTTTGGAGTCAATAGTTCTGTGAGGAGTCTTCTAAAAAAGTGAGGAAGTTCAACCTCCGGTATGGAGTCAGCGACTCCTCTGAGCTTGAGATTGTTTCGGCGGTGCCTCTTTTCTTGAGCGGCAATTAGTTGTTCGTGCTGCCAGGATTTTTGTTGCAGGTCCCTAATCGCTGCTTGCAGATCCGTGATCTAGTTAGTGTGGCTGGTGGAGGAGGCTTCTACCACTCCCAGCCTATTGGTAATGCCTTTGATGTCGCCTCTGATTAGGGCCACGTCCGCCGCGATCTTCCTGTGGTGGTCTGCCATTAGCTCCCCAATAGCCTCCATGGTCACAGGGGTGGGGGCATTTTTGTGTGGTAGTGCCCGTGGTGGCGGTGGGACCGGCAGGGCCATTGTGGGGTCTCCCCCATCTTCGTCTGATGTGAAATCCGAGCAGCCCCCGTGCAGGGACGCCATCTTGGCGCATCCTGCCTCATGTGCCTGCCGCCATAATTCCCCGATATCCATGCCCTGGCGAGGCTTGTCGGGCCTCACTTTCTTGTTCTTTCGGCCCATTTAGTTCTTATGGTTCTCCGGGTCACCCCTGGTTAGATATTTGTGTGGGTTCAGGTGCTGGAAATGTCCAATGCCCTCTTTTTAACCCAGGAAGGAATCACTGATTTTCATATTCACTGATGTGAAGTAGATTTATAGAAGATGTATTTTTAGTATGGAAAAGAGTAGGTTGCTAGAATAGTTTACAATGACGGGTTAGTTTTTTTGGATAGCACAGTTGCAGGAGAGGAAGCTGGGTGGGTTGGGGGTGTAAAGCTATTAACCCATTTAATTGATATTCTTTCCTAAAGAAGTGAAAACATGTCTTTATATTTACAGTACGTTTTTTAAATTATATGGCACATCTCAAAGTCTACAGGTAGAATTTCTTTCATATCTTAGTGAACATTTCAATAATAAATTATTATCCGTCTCAATGTCAACATTGTTTATGGTTTGTTTTTGGTTATATAGCACATCAAATGTTTTATTATTATAATGCTGCATGCTGCATCCATGATTTTCCCTTTACTGTTCATCGTTACATTTTTGTCTTATCTAACCCATTTAATAGTGTGCTTATTTTACTTACGTTACTTACGTTCATTTTTATTCAGCATTTATTCTATAATTAGAATACAAAGAAACACATTAAATTTTAATCTTCAATTTTTTAAGATCTTTATGTATATTTTCTACTAGTGTTCCATAATTAAGCTTATATATCTCTTTCTGTTCTCCTGCAAGCTGTACCCCTAGATATGTTAGGCCTCTATCTGCCCATTTATATTTATACTTTCTCAGTATATGTTCTTTTAATCTGACATCTACATTAACCCTAATATTTCACACTTATCCATGTTCACTTTAAAGTTTGAAAGTGCTCCATGTGTCTCCAATGCCATCTGAACTAGGGGTAACGAGCAGAGTGGGTCTCTAATCGAAAGCAAAACATCATACACAAATGTGGATACTTTGATCTCTCTATGCCTATATCCCTTAATATATATATTATTCCGAATGGCCGTAAGGAATAGTTAAAATGCCAGGATAAAAAGAAGGGGGGATAGTGGGCACCCTTGGTGCGTGCCGGGTTTGATAGAGAATGGTGTTGATAATTGGCCATTAACTCGAATGTTAGCTGTAGGGCCGCTATAGAATGCCTGTCCAATTACTTAGTCTAGGCCCAAACTTACATGGGATATTCCTAGATAAATAATCTTCTAATTCAAGGGATCCTGATAGAAATCCCTAAAGGAAGTAGCTATTGTACCTGTAGTGTTACAAGATGTCCCATTTTTATTTATTTTTGGTATATATGTTTTCTGAAGTTTTGCTTTCAATGTCCTGGCCAGTAGCTTCCCACTTTTATTTTCATATGTATAGAAGGAGCTTTGTGTCATCTGAACGTCTCTCTGTGCCTCAAATGTGAGGAGGGATCTGAGTTTTAATCTATTTGCCGTTAGGCGTTGAAAATTCTCTTTGAAGGAATCTGTTTATGATTAATCTCTGCGTCATTTATTACTCCAGTAAGAAAATGTATTTCCTCTGTTCGTTCCTTTTTTAGTCTGGAGCCCCATTTAATTAATATATCCCGGAAGACCCCCTTATGAGCTTCCCATATCCATGAATCATTTGTATCAGATGTACAATTCACCTAAAAATTATGAGATAGGGTCATATTTAAATCCTCAATAACCCGTGAGTCATCAAGGAGAGTTTCATTTAAGCGCCAAATAATGCTTCTCCTAGAGTCTCCTTGTAGTTCTATTCTAAGTTAAAAAAAATAGGGGCATGATCTGACCATGTGATGTTTCCAATGGACGCTCCTTTGAGCAAATGCAGATCTCTATGATTTATTAAGAACATATCTATCCTTGAGTAGCTATTGGCCACTGGAGAATAGAAAGTGTAATCCCGATCTTGTGGATGGTTAATAAACCAGGTGTCAATCAGTTGGTGGAAATACAATGTGTTTAAAAAAACAGACCTCTGATGGTCTGTCACCTGTGAGGAACTATCCATTGCATGGTCTAATACTAAATTCCAACCACCCCCAACAATCAAAATCCCTTGTGAGAACCCTTTCAGTTTTCTCAGACAGAAAGTTATAAAAGATGCTTGGCTTTTGTTAGGCGCATAATCATCTAATTCGTAATAATCGCATAATAATCTAATGCGTAATAATCTAGTCATTAACCTTCTCCTTTATAAAGACAAATCTCCTTCTCTACTTCAATAAAGTTTAAATGGGAGGCAACAAAAAATTGCTACTCCTCTAGATTTCCCTTTTATATAGTTACTATAAAAAATTTGCTTAATTGGAAGTTGCCTTCATAGTGGGTTTCTTGAATAAACATAACATCATTTTTTTTGCCTATTTAGCTCCTGTGCTAGCATAGAACTCTTTCCTGGAGAGTTAAGGCCTCTAACATTCAGAGACATAAGACTAATTTGGACCATATAGAGAGCAGAGGATAGGACTTATATAATACCATGTTCTAGAGGGTAAATCATAAAGGAGAAGAAATTTAAGCAGGATACAAAATAGATACCTACAAAGGGTCTGAACTAATTACAAATGTATGAGTATAGTAACGTATGTTGGGATTGGTTATGATGCCACACCTGTGGGAGACACTATTGTGTCCACAAGCCATATGGGGATCTCTCAGGGTGGAAAGACATGTATAGATAAATAAGTAAGTAAGTGACATGTATCGATAAACAATTCTAATTGACCTCTCCTCCAACTCATAATCTCAAGCACTAATACGCCCTATAATTGATTAGGGAGTAATGGAGCGTATATATCCCAGTACCTTGTCTAAATAATAAATAGTTACTCCAACCCAAACACTGGAAGCCCCAATGCCTGTAGGAAATCCCGTATATCTGCCGGCGTGGATATACTAAATGTCTTCCCCTGTTGTATAAATGCTAATGCAAATGGGTAGTACCAACGGTATTTAACTTGTTTCTCTGTCAATAATTGTGTAATGGGTCGCAGGTTCCCCATTTTCTTCTAATGCCTGCACTCTATTGCCCAAATGCTGTATTTCTGTAGTAACAGCTACTAACTTTTCACTGAAACTATCCTCCATTTTCTTAAACATAATGATGAGATCGGACTGAAGGTAATTGGGTCAGGATTGTTCTAAGGTCCAACACTTCGACTGAACACTCTAAGATTGGTGGGCTTTCTGGCGGGCTTCCTTGCTTGCTTACTGAAGGAGTCATTTTGTCTCGTAGGTCGTGGTCTGCCTGTTCCGTCAGGAACTTCCGTTGTGGCGATTTTAGCGTTGCCAGGTTGGGACCATACTACCTAATTGCTTCCTGGTCGACCATATTGGTTATTTCTTAATAGAGTGATGCCAATGACAGTTGGCGCGCTCAATCAGTAGCAATCAGTATCAACGCAGTAGTATCTACCCAGCAGAAATATTGCAAAGATTTTGCTCTTATATTGCTCTTATAGTGCTTATCAGATTATTTCACAAATGCATCCAATTGCTTATTAGATTGGTGATAAAGGCTTTGAAGATTATCATTCCTCACAACTCCTCTTAATTCTTTCTAAGTATACTGAATAGCCTGGATTGCTGAATAGACATTAAGACAGCCCCCCTTAAGTAACTCCCTGAACAAGGGAAAATCACTGCGCTGTTTACCGCTCTGTTTAATGTCAGGAGCCGACCCTACCTTCCCATACACCCACCTTTTATCTTTTTCCAGCAGGTTGCTCGGGAACTTCTTCCGATGCTTCCTTATCCCACCTTTTATGTGTCAGAAAAGTTTCTGTGGCTCATACGTCCTTTTCACTTCCCCTTTCAAGTTTGCAGGTGCTTTTCCAAACACTCTTCTGGCCCCCAGGGGTATATATTAGGTATATATTAGGAATCAAATACCAAAGTGGCATCAATGTCGGCATTCGCCGGAACATGAGGAACAACTGCACTCAAGATCATCTGGACTGGAAACCTTTCGACAGGCCCTCTGACCCACATCACGGCCTCACATCCAAGAGACGCATTTCAGCAGGGATTACACACCAGCTATATATAATAAATATTACCCAACCCAGTTCCACACCCTCTCCGAAAACAAGACAAATGGGGTCTCAGTCTTTATTCATAAAGATATAGTTTTAAAATCATAGACACAAAGGGCAGGTATATCATCCTCATAGGCCTAATTAACAACACACTGTATACCTTAGTAACTACTTACTTCCCAAAATACTTGGGCCCTTCTCCAGCCTATCACCATACAAAAAATTATGCAAACTACTAAACAACTTCCCCCGGGGAAGTCTCCGGGTGCAGACAGACTCTCCAACTCTACTACAAGGCGTTCAGTACCATACTGGCGCCGCAGCTCCTGCAGGTGTACCAGCAGACTGCATCCTCAGTCCATTTGCCACCTGATATGCTACTAGCTACAATAGTTACAATCCCCAAACCAGACAAAACTCCGGACATATGCAAGAACTACAGACCTATATCTTTACTCAATACAGATGCGAAAATCTATGCCAAGATTATTGCTAATAGACTTAATCAAATTCTGCCACACGTAATCCATGATGACCAGAAAGGCTTTGTGATGGACCGACAAGGCCTAGACAATACCTGGAAACTTACCCTGGTACAATGAGAGCTCGGAAGGTCGACTCGAGGTGGTCTTCTATTAGCACTGGACGCAGAAAAAGCTTTGACCGCCTTGGCCGGGCCTTCCTGAAGCAGGTTTTAGACAGCTATGGGTTTCTTCCACAAGTAATCCAACAAATATTTGCATTAGATTCCTCACCCTCGGCACAAGTGATCCAGTCAGGATTCCTATCCCCTACCTTTAGAATCACGAATGGAACGAGACAGGGCTGCCCCCTTTCCCCACTCCTCTATGTCCTCGCATTAGAACCCCTACTGCAACTTATTAGACAAAATGAGAGCATACAGTGAATAAGCCTGGGCAATAAACAGATTAAAATTAGTGCATTTGATGACAATGTACTATTGTATATTGCGAATCCCCAAGACTCTCTGCCCACACTGATGCAGTTGATTCAGGCTTATGAATATGGTGGTACTTACTGCCGACCAGATTACATAAAATCTTTCCTTCCACCTCCCCACTCTGTTAGAGATATCATGAAACTGAGGGCTCGATGCACCATATCTGGTGAAGCTGTCCACAGCTAACCCACTACTGGACAGAAGTCCACAAACTAATCCAAGACATAACGAAAGGCTCCCTCCCATTTGCTCTAAAATCTTGCCTATTGTTAGATCTTCCGAGGAGATGTCCCAACACATGAGAAAAATGATTTTACACATCGCCTTGACAGCACAGCAACTAATAGCGAGGAGCTTTGGCATGCATGGAGATCTGGTAAATTGCTATGTTTGTAGTCCTATGAGGGTTCTTGGGTTCCACAACCGAATCTATTTACCCAAGCGTTATACTGATACTGGGTGAATGTTTAAACCTCGTCACCCTAATGTTACGTATAAAATGTACAATGCCGTCTGACTGTCGACATATTGTTCTGTACAGTGATGCACCCCCCCCTTCTTTCCCACTCCCACCTTTTTGTTTCTGTACCTGCTCCCTATGTTACGTCAACAAAAATAAATACATCTTCAAATGAAAAAATAAACAGTGCAGTTGCGTCTTTCCACTTTCTAAAATCCTAGATAACAGATGGCTTGGTCAGGAGTGTCGCTCTCTAAGCCAATCGGTAACTCTCCATTCATAAAAAAAGTTATTACAGTATCTCCACAGACAGTTTAACCCCTAAAGATGGATAATCCAATGGGGTAGTATTGTGGTCTGCACTTCTATTGGGTGCAAATCACATTAAGAGACACTCTGCATGAGTCAGATTTGTCCCCACAGGAAAACATTGATTCGATGCTTTCCTGTGGGGAGGTCTAATGCGCAGACGGCATTTGCCACGCATGTGCACTAGTGTCCTCTCGTTGCAAGACGTCGGAGAAGGCGGAGCCACGACCCAAAGCACATCAGGGGAAAGGTAAGTAAATTAAGGATTTTTAACCCTTTATTCACCGTCATGGGGGCGTGAGGGAGGGGGGAGGCAGAGGGACCAATAGTGCCAAGAATACAGCTTTCCTATAACTTATAGCATACCTTTAAGAAAATCAGTATAAATCAAATCAGCATCTCAAATATGTGTGGAGGAACCGGCAGTTATCCCAGCACAAGCTCACCTATCGTTAAATTCCAATGTTGTAGGGATAGAATTAAGTAGGTGACAAGAGATGATAGATGTATATGTAAGGCTGTATAAACTTGTACTTATGTTCATCACTGTGTACAACAATCCATTTCTGGAGACTTTGTGAACTAGCTGTCTTTCTAAATAAAGAATTTAAAAAAAATAAAGAATTAAGTAGGTGTCCTAGGGTGGGAGAAACTGAGATGACCGGTTATAGAAAAATAAGATGGAGCTAGGGCAACCATGAAGGATTGTAAATATTGAACTTACTCTTTTTACCTTTTGGCTGTTTTGGTTTTTCGTTGGCATGAAAATATATCCTGAATTCCAGGTGAATTTCAACTTTTAAGCCAACATAAGCAAATTTTAAAAACTACTGACATTTCCTATTTTCTATCTTGGTCTAAAAGTTGAACATTCAATTTCAATTCACTAGTGAATAAACCTATGTATGTCTGTCTTTATTTAGACACTACACATATTGCTGGAATTATGGTTAACATGAGTCTTAATATTAGTATGACAGTATTAGCTTTTCCAGAGGGAACCAAATACAGATTACGAATGTAAAGAAATTGCTGATAAATATCCACAGATTCAGATTTTTGGGGTTATTAACCAAGGGTAATGTTCTTGAATTTGTATTACTATACTGTGCATAATGTATTTATTATAAATTTTTTCCTTTTTTTCAGTCTTATACCATTTTAAAGATGGATGATTACTTTAATTCAACAGAGTAAGTATTTACCTCGCCATCTACATATTGTCTGCTTATTTCCAACATGGAACAAAAAAAACAATTAATTGCTCTACTGGCCCTTTATATGGGCTTTTTAAGATTATCTGCCCTCACGTGCTAAACTCTTCAGGACCACCATAGCCTTGGACAATCCCTGCCACCATCTACAAAACAGCTTTATGAATTTAGGGGCAGAGGTTTGTTATGAGGTTATTACTGGTTATTTTATAATGTAAGTGATATTACTATAGTTAAACCAAATATTTAAATATACTGTTAGCTTGGCATAATCTATTAAAAAGGTAGATGAACATATGGCATTTACTCAAATATTCTTAATTATTTTATGTTAAAGAAATAAAGAAACACTTTTTGTGTTAGACTGTTAGTTTGGTTTGTGTCTAGGTTACATTAAAGGGACACTATAGTCACCTGAACAACTTTAACTTAATGAATCAGTTTTGGTGTATAGAACATGCCCCTGCAGCCTCACTGCTCAATTCTCTGCCATTTAGGAATTAAATCCCTTTGTTTATGAACCCTAGTCACACCTCCCTGCATGTGACTTGCACAGCCTTCCATAAACACTTCCTGTAAAGGAAATTGCAAGTTCTGTTTAATTAAGATGTTCTTATCCCCTGCTATGTTAATAGCTTGCTAGACCCTGCAAGAGCCTTCTGTATGTGATTAAAGTTCAATTTAGAGATTGAGATACAATTATTTAAGGTAACTTACATCTGTTTGAAAGTGAAACCAGTTTTTTTTTTTCATGCAGGCTCTGTCAATCATAGCCAGGGGAGGTGTGGCTAGGGCTGCATAAACAGAAACAAAGTGATTTAACTCCTAAATGGCAGTGAATTGAGCAGTGAAATTGCAGGGGAATGATCTATACACTAAAACTGCTTTATTCAGCTAAAGTAATTTAGGTGACTATAGTGTTCCTTTAAAACAAACAGCACCCAGGGTGAAATCTACACAAAACACAAAAATTACTCATGATTTTTTTCCATTGATGTCTGTGTGCACCTGTACTCAAGAGTAGAATTAGCAGATGTTGTTTATTGTACCTATGTCACACCCTATTTCAATTCAATTACGCTACTGTTTCAGGTGATATAAAGACACTACAAGCTATTAGAGTATAGCTAATAGCTATAGGAAGGAAGTACACACCCCAACAGAAAACACGTGCAATAGAATAGAGTTAGTTGCATGTAAACCAAACATAACATCCATAACATCTACCTATTTTAGTATTAATAAATCAACATCCTTGGCTTAAGGATAGAGTACAACGAGTTGTAATTAATGGTAAATTTTCAAGCTGGACAAAAGTGGTAAGTGGTGTCCCTCAGGGTTCTGTTTTGGGACTGCTTCTATTTAACATATTTATAAATGATCTTGAAATAGGCATTGAAAGCCATGTATCAGTGTTTGCAGATGACACAACACTTTGTAAAGTAATAAAATGTGAGCAGGATATCGCCTTGCTGCAGAGGGATTTGGATAGATTGGGGGACTGGGCACTAAAATGGCAGATGAAATTTAACATAGAGAAATGCAAAGTTATGCCCTTCGTGGTTAAGAATGCACAAGCAATTTACACCCTAAATGGTAGTGAACTAGGGATAACCACACACAAGAAGGATTTGGGAATTGTTATAGGCCAGTAAGGTTTTGTCATGTATAAATAGGGGCATAAATTCTCGGGATGAAAATATAATTTTGCCTCTTTATAAATCGCTGGTAAGACCACACCTTGAATATGCTGTGCAATTTTGGGCACCTGTTCTAAAGAAAGATATCACTAGAAAAAGTGCAGAGACGAGCTACAAAATTGATAAAAGGAATGGCGCATTTTAGTTATGAAGCAAGGTTAAAAAATGTAAATCTCTTTAGTTTGGAAAAACGGCGCCTGAGAGGGGATATGATAACATTATACAAATATATTTGGGGCCAGTACACACCATTATCTGGAAATCTATTCATAAACAGGGCTATACATAGGACACAAGGTCACACATTTAGGCTTGAAGAAAGGAGATTTCATCTAAGGCAAAGAAAAGGTTTTTTTATAGTAAGAGGAATAAGGATATGGAATTCTTTGCCTGAAGAGGTGGTTTTGTCAGAGTCTATACAGATGTTTAAACTGCAATTGGATAAATACTTGCAAAAACATAACATACAGGGATATAATTTCTAATTAGTGGGGTAATAGCTGCTTGATCCAATGAGACATCTGACTGCTATTTTGGGGTCAAGAAGGAATTTTTTCCTAGTTTGTTGCAAAATTGGAAGCAATTCAGACTGGTTTTTTTGCCTTCTTTTGGATCAACAGCAAAAACATATGTGAGGAAGGCTGAACTTGATGGACGCAAGTCTCTTTTCAGCTATGTAACTATGTAACAATAAACAACATCTGCTAATTCTACTCTCGAGTTCAGGTGCACACAGACATAAATGTAACATTGTGAAATTTGGAGTCCAAATCACTGTCCTTGTAATAACATTCTAGAGGTTAAGTCTCTCAGGTGGTTGTGAATGTCTGCCACTACGTATGAGTGAAGACTGATTCAGGTTGAGCAACCTTTGAAACTGACTGCTGTCAGGTCCTGCTTGCTCAGGGCCTTCAACAGACCATATTTGGGATTATTAATAAAACTTGTAGTGAATGGAGAAGTTCAAGAATAGGAAAAATAGGTTTTAGCAACTAAATGACCACTCAGCTTGGATCTATTTAGTTACAGATTTAATTATGTATTGAAATATTCCTCTATCCTAGACAAATTGCTCTAGATTCTTTAAATTACCAAGTCCTACAGTGCATGTACCCTATCATACTTCACAGGCATTACATTAAATCATATATATTTCAATACCCCAAGTGTCCCTATTTAGGAGGGACAGTCCATATTTTGGGCTCAAAACTCTACGTACCCCTTTTCTATCCTAATATCCCTCTTGCTCCATAATGTTTTTGTGTCGGAGTGTATAACAGAGCTTCACAGCAATAATACTATCACTGTCATATGCATGCGCAATACACAGGATAGGCAGCATTAGAAATATGTTGCTTTTTCCAGCGGAAATTAAGCTCCAAAAAGACCCCTTAAACTCACACACACCAGATTGCTGATTCCCGGAGCATCCTTATAAAGTTTGGATGGATCCTGCACCTAATATTGATAGGATAACCGGGTTAACTAGAACAAGCGCACAGGAAGACCACATCATTTTGTGATGGGGAAAAGAGGGAAAACTAACAAGGTCAGGATATAGCAGCTACTTAAAGGACACATTTGTGCTACTAGCTTTCAAGTGTTCTGTATTATAAATGCAGCCTCTGACACTGTGTTTAGTACATGCAGCCTATGACCCTTGTCATTATTTCATTGTCTATTTTTATTGTCTGTAATGCTGTGTGCATGCTTAAAAATCTTTCTTCATTCAGTAGGGTCTTGGCACACCAAGGTGAACCATCAAGACACAGCATGAGGCCATCTGCCAAGAGCATCTATGGTATGTTTAACAATTTAAATTATACTAAAAAACTTCAGCTCACTATGTCTCAAGTAATTGTCTAATATTGACTAAATATTCAGTTTCCAACCTGCTTTAAAAGTCTATCCCTCACTAAAAATGTTAATAATTGTCCTTGTCATATAGCTATTCTAATCACCCACAGGAGTCAAGAGTGTAGATTCATCAAAGCAAAATAGGTGCTATTCTAGAACCAAGAGCTAAATCAGGCATCACCATGGCAACCAGTATAATGTGTCTCAACATTTAGCACTTTGCACCCAAAATAGCACCTTGATAAACCTTCACACTAGAACTGTTGACTGTGTCAGTCTCTATTTTGCTGGAACAGTCTTACATTTTGGGGTCCTGTCTCAACAAAAATGGATTCCGGAAACCTGTCTGCATTCTCAAGTCTGCCCAACAGTTCAATCTTCTTCACAGGTTTTGAGAAGAAGGAGGGGACAATAGGATCACGCTGATAATACTGGAACAGCGATCCATAAATTGTCTACCCCGAGGTGGAGTCTGTAAGTCATGCTAGGTACCCACTCTAGGGGTGGCCCCGCCCCCTTCAGGATTGGGCCCTCTCCTTTCATGGACAGATCCACGCATCTCTGCAGCTGGCTCCCAATCACTGTACTTGATGGTATCCAGGCAAATCTACATGTATTTAGATATGTATTAACCCACCCAGTACTCTTTAACATTTCTTCTTTAACTATTCCAGTGTCCATCTTAGCATCCTCTATTGCTGAGCTGCTCATCTATGTGCAAACCTTACCCTTCTTAGTTTCCAACTTATACTTAGATACATCAGCTATGCCAGTTCAGCTATTATCACTAAGACTCAACAAATGTGTCTGTCACAGCTGGGCCCTTACTGGAGTATTGGCTGAGCCCCTGTCCTCGGAGCCACATTGCCTGTTAGAGACTCTTTTAGAAATAGTATATAAATTCTATTTGTGAAACTCTATAGTCTTAAATAATAATTTATTTTTCATGCATGAGAGTACAGAGAATCTTGCATTGCCACAACAGCAGGTACAGGGTTAACATTAGCTATATAAAGAAAGTATGAATGCATAAAGTAATAGCGTGATAACACCCTGGAGCACTAACGTTTTGAAAATGTGCCCACTGTAAAGCTTTATAATGAGGTATATAACTTTAACAACTTTTGTAAAAGCCTTATATAGGCTTAACTATAAACTATATTTGCTAAACTAAATGTTTTGCCAAGTATTTCTAAATAAGTTGTTGCACTTTTGTCCATAATATGTAAATATAAAAAAAATAAATGCAAGAATGTGTTCGTTAATGAACATGGCAGATTGTATATATTTATGTAAATACCCTGAAGTATAAATTTTTGAAATCATATATGAATGTGGTAACCCCTATGCTATACAATACAGTTACTTTACTATACCCCCGATAAATTAATACATTCTCTTATATTTCATATTATTTTTCTATCTCCTGTGAAGAGCAAAGGAAGCAGTACGCACAGTCTCTAACGATGGCTGAAAACAGTTTTGAGCATCGTGTGGAGGTAAGCATGGTCTTAAAACAAAATAGTTTTTCTTTAACTTATGAAGCAAATTAAATCTGCAGAGCTAGCTTTCTAGTAAAGCAAAATAGTTACTTTACTTTTTTATATACATGGACCTTTGATCTTGTCCACCAGCTCCTACTACAAAGCATTAACCCCTTAAGGACCAAACTTCTGGAATAAAAGGGAATCATGACATGTCACACATGTCGTGTCCTTAAGGGGTTAAACACCACAAAGTAAATTCCAAATACCTCTGATCACCCTTCATTTGCTAATGTAGACACAAAAATGGTACTTGCATGATCATTGGCTGCTACTCTCTGTTAATATCTGCATGTAAAATGTATCTACTCTTTATTTACTGTATATGTTCCAATAAAGCTGTTTTTTTAAATGCAAAAGCAGTAGCCCATGGTCTGTTTTTGTGACTCCTCCGTGGCATCTGCATGCAGTTTAGTGGATTAAAATTACTGCAAACTACTAAACTGTGCTGTCATAATTGTATGATCGTATTGCTGGGACAAGGAAGCTACTGCCAAGTGATAATCATCCATTAAAAGGACAATACAAGCTAAGTAGTTGTGGTGCATAGTTGGTGTCTGTGTTTACTAGGAGAATGTAAAACTGTTCTGAGAAACAGCAATGTTTACATTTGTCAGAGAATACACCTTTAATGACTAGCAGACTGACAGCCCAGAAATGTGGAAATACCTGTGGTGCAGCCCAGCTTTGGCATAGCACATTGCAAGATAAAGGCCTCAGCCACCATATGACCCTTCCTGGCCACACTGTCACTGCCAGTAGTTCCTGCAGCAAAGAGGGAGGAAGGGCAACCAAACTTGGTAGCCAAACTTGGGGGAAACGTGTAGTGTCGACAGTAGGATGCAAGGAAGAATGCAGGAGGGAGAGTTGGAGAGAGGCTGCATATCTATGTGTCCTGTGTATGTGTGTTGGTATGTGTCTATATGTTTGTGTGTCTATCTATATATGTTAATTTGTGTGTGTATTTGTGCACGTGTCATTGAGTTTATTTGTGCATCTATGTGTGTATGTCTCTTGGAGGATATTTGTGTGTTTGTGTCTGTGTTCATCTATGTGTAGCAGTGTATGTGTGTATATATTTGTCTGGCAGTGTTTGTGTGGCAATATATGTGTCTGTAGGTTTTGTGGTTTTGTGTGTGTAAATGTGATTACATGCACCAAGATTACAAACATACACTCCACTGCAAAAACAAAAATACACCAATGCATTCAAATGACAACACTATCTGCACAACCCCCTCCCCCACATTCTAACTCCAAACCTACACAAATACACCATGTATTCAAATGCTAACACTACAAGCAAGCACCCCTGCATACATACAGAAACACTACACACATGTACACTTCTGCATTATACACAAATACACAAACATTCACACATATACTCCATATAAACATGCCTATATTCACACACAGGCATTGCGCAACAAATACAACACAAATACAACTCTGGATGGGCAAATGGCAGATCCATTGCTAGCAAAGCATCAGTTGAGTTGGCTACTCATGCTTTATAGGGGGCCCAAAAACATTTATTTCTGCCACTGCCTAGAACCTTCTATTTTTAAACAACGTCATATTTGGTGTCATCACACACAGCATGTAGGAATCTGGACACCACTAACACAATGCTTCTCACAGAGAGGCATTGGAGTTGATGCTTCTCTATGAAAATCATCAGATTGGTGGAGTTTGGTGATTGCAACAGATGCAATATAAGTCCCCAATATCTCTCTATAAGAACATCGTGGGCCTATTTATATCGGAAAGCATCATTAAAGAGCAATGAAAACCGCTTCACTCTATGCTGTACCGACACACTGTTTAAAAAATACACCTTTTTGATAGCGCAGTTTTAAATGTATAAGGAAAAATAATATTGCAAGAGCTGACCATAATAATTTATATGAAGATAGTTTGTTAGATGATGACAGTATGGTCACAAAGAATCTTGCTCCTGCTTTGAAAGATGCACACACACCGTCTCTATTACTATTGCATATTTTCTATCTGGATCCATAAGTACGAGTTCTAAGTTTCTATAAAGTCTCTTCTGGTAATGGCCAGGAACTCTGTGGGTCTCTGATTGGTTTAATTTTTTCCTAGCACCTCCTAACATGTGACTTGGATAATGAAGTTCGTAGTGTAGAGGATTGTATGAAGCGTCTTCGTTCACTCGATGCTGAGGGAAGAATATGGGGTCAAGACTTGATGCTAGAAGTGAAAAATGGAAATCTGCAGCTAAATGACCTGGAGACGCGGGTGAGTTAGAGTGTAGAATTGAGAAGTCTATAGAAGATCGAATACATAAACTATACGGTACTTGTACTTCCTCTCCTGGTACTTGTGCATTAAAACCATTTTTCTCCTCTATCCAAATCTAACCATGTTTATTTTGGATTTGTGTTTTGCACAGGACAGTCTGGAAAGTGTGCCACTACGTAATGTACTGAGCTGTCGTTCATTAATGGGGGGCACCACATATAATTCAGTTCTCACAGTTACTATACAGGACCCGCAAAAATCAACTGTATTCATTTTCCAGTGTGACGAACAGCCGGTGAGTGATATCACTGTGTCTGCAAAAAGAGGTATCTGAGGGTCTTGTTTGGTTTTTATTCTATGTATTGGAGGTGAAGTGCACTGTAGTCATTGCTACCATGAGGAAGCAGTGGGAATTTGAGCAAAGGACTTAATATTGAATGGCTGTGGGTTTTGTGTCTTTATCCAAACTACTTTAACCAGATCATTCCATGATGTCTATATGTGCAGCACCACTAGTCGAGATGTTATGTGTTATGGCTGTCCATTTTGAAGTATGTGGCAACAGTTTAGCAAATACATTACAGTATCCTTTCTATATCCACAGGCCAATGTTTTGCATTCACACTTGGAAAAAGCCTTAAAGCAAGAAAAATCAAATACAGAAGGCAACAATTCCAGGTAAATATTCCTTCTTCTAGAAGTCGGAATTCAGTTTCTCATGCTCAAGACAGTTGATTGTAACACATGTAACTGCTTTGCTACCAAGTGATGGTATGCAATGTATGCGTACAAAGGTAGATTAGATGGATAAATAGTCAGATCACTTTTACAGGGTTATTCATTAAAGTGAGATGTGTTGGGAATTCAAAGTGAATTTCTAATTTAAGACCAAAGCACAGCTTGATTTAAAATGTTTTTCCCTGTCTCCTATTTTGGCATAAAAATTTGATATCCACTTTGAACTCAGTTTGAAGCACAGCCACCATTACATGTAGTGTTTATGGTACTAAGAATCTGTGGGCGCCATCCCCCTGTTTTTTTTGTTTTTTCTGCCATTTTCAAACAGATCTATAAAATTGATTCAATTCAGGTTTAGCAACAGGTGAGCTATTGGTTCAGTTTTGCTATTTGAATTTAAATTCAGTTCAGTTTGGAGTTTAGTGATTAACCATGATAATGTCTAATGCTTTTAATAGCACTTTTATAGATTGACCATGTCACCATTTAGTAACTATTTGCCCCTTTACCATGGGTTCCCAGGTGGAGTTACACCTTCGACAGGTAAGGAGGTAATCGTTGTATATGCACTGTTTCAAAGCGAAACTCTGCACACACTGACTTCAGGCACCATGACTACTTCAAATCACTGAAGTGGTCATGGTGCTTGAAGTAATCCTTAAAGTTGTATCAAACCAGAAAAAATGGGCACCTTGGAAGCAATTTATTGCATAAAAACATGGCATGGAAGCATTACTTAAAAATAAAGGGAACTGGACCCCAGTATATACATTTTACATATTAAAGGGATATTGTGGATAATTGTGGATGCAAGATGTGTTCATGTCAAGGAAGCCAAATTTAGTTATTTTTTAGACTCGTGTCCTTTAGTCTAGCAGTAAGATCTTCCACTGAATTCCCATCCAAGAGGTACAGGTCTTGTAATATGTACAGAAAAAAGGCAGGTGTAGGCGTTCGGTATAATGTGAACAGGCAGCTGTAAATTTACAGGGATTCCCAAACCTTGCGTAAGATACAGAAATGTGACAAAACAACAGGTGATAAACCGCGCCAAACAGAACTGAAAAAAAGCACATGGGTATACTTAATCTCAACAATAACCCAATAATGTGTAATAAATTATGTATCATCTCTCTGGAGTAAAGTGATTTTGTATTTCAGGATC